TATTTTATATCTTATTGTGGTAGATATTAACATTTCTTATTGTATGTAAATATTAATCAGAGAAACTCATAAAATTCTCCTAATACCATATTGTTCCACAATTACCATGATTTTCAGAGTAAATTCTACACTAAAAAAAATGACTAAGTTAATAAATATTTATTTGAATACTCCTAAATGAATGATTTGTTTGAAATAAATAAATATTTTATTTTGTTTTAAAAAAGATTTTCTTATATCAAATAAATATTTTTCATATTAAATCAATATTACTAGTTTCAAATAAATAATTTATTTGGCAGTATTGAAATAAATACTTATTTGAATTCAATAAATTTTTTTTCAGTGTAAGAGAAAATTCCCTATGTGTAGATATATTTTTAATTCAAAATTTTCTTAAAGAGAGAAATGTGTATAGGTATATACTGGGTGCATCGTGGGCTATATATTCGCGCGACCGAAAGTGCGAAGGGGAGCATACGCTGTGTTTCGCGTTTCGCTTCGCTAATTTCTCTCGTGCGTTCGCACGCCGAAATAAAAGCTTTAATTTCGTGGCAACCATCCGCCGCGCCTAATTGGCATAGACGACGACGGCGACGACGTTGTTCGTTCGTTCGCTCGCTCGCACAAACAACCGATGCAATCGAAGGAAGAGAGCACCATATTAATTCCTAATTGTGTAATTATCCCTCTAATTACAGCCCCGTGCGTATGGCAAATTATCCCACCGTCTCGAGTCAAAAGCGAGACTCAAGGACGCCCGTAATTTTCGAGAGTCGAATTTACGCGAAACGACGATCGATTTCGTGTATCTTTCGCAACGAATATTTAATAAGCGACGAAGAGAAACGTGGGAAGAAATTTTGTTTTTTCGATGAAAAATCTCAAAATAATTTTAGCGATAATAATCGGTAATTTCATAATTCATATGATACATGACATATATCGAAAAAAAGAAATACTTACTTGAAATCGTAAATTTATAAAGTAAGACCATATAGAGATATAATAGATATAACTGACGCTAATTGTTTAATATAATCTCTCGTCAAAGGGAGGATTATTTCGTTAGCTGCGGTTTACCTGTTGATTCCCCTATAAATGTGGTGTTCGTTTGCCGATTGATAAAATTATATTTTCAATAGTGGATCGCTGTATTTCGATACACATATTTTCTCGTGGCAACTATTCTAAGTATGCATAAACTCAGTGAAAATTGAATGAAAGCAAGAGATGAGTAAAAATGAGAAGATAAATGATTTTATATCGCGAAAGAAATTCAGTGCATATTAATCTCATATAATTTTGCATAGCGATTTTTTTAAATGCCTCCCCAAACGAAAAATATACTAACGGAGGTGGTTGACAATGACCTTGAGGGAACTTGTTTCACGACTCGCACCTGCGACTGCAAAATTCAAGCCACGATTTGTTTACCAATCGCGTATCGATCTCATTGCCGCACGGAAGTTAATTAAACACACAGATGTACCGGATAATTTAAAATGACACGAGGCGAGGCGATGCGATATGATCGCCGTTATGGCCGTCATATGTACGTGAATCAAGTGCGCTTTACAGAAGCGACATCAATATTTTAAAAAATTCTGTTCAAATACTCTGCATTTGTTTATAAAAAAATCATATTAATCGTAACCGCATGTGCGGAATTATAATGAGACAATCACTGCGTGATAGAGATGAGCAAACTAATATTTGAAATGAAAAATGAAGAAAATATTTAGTTAAAATATTTAGTTAATTTTAAATTTCAGATATAATACATATATATCTCAAATGTGTTTCTTGTTAGAAACTTCAAGTATTAATTGAATAAAAGTATCTTTTTCTCGTTACATAGATGTAGCAAACTATTTGAATACTCTTTTCATTCAACTTGTATTTATCTTCATTCAATTGAATCAACAATTTAGAAATAAAGGCATATGTTTTTTTGTTAAATTGAAAAATGATTTTTCTTATTAGATAACACATTAAAAATATATTTGGAATCATGCGCGAGACATAAAATATCTAAAATAGTCAAAGTAAATTTAAAAGCTTCAAATAATAATTTCAAGAATAACAATATCCGATCATTCAAAACGATTAAGTACTTCAATCAATAATTTTAATATTTTGTTTTAAATATTTGCTATATACCATATACTTGTACCAATCATATCCTCGCACTCATAGAAAGAATAAATAAACCAAAAATCAAATAATAGTTTATTTAGTTAAAGGACACATTTAAAATAATAATTTTTAATAGTTCGCATTTAAAATAAAATGTGCTACTGCAATGTAGATAAGATTAATTATGCCGGAATATTATCGAGCGCGCGAGAGCGATTAATCGCGAGCTCTAAATAAGAGAGCGATTTTTGCGCGCGCGCGCCGTTCGATTTAGCGCACAAAAGAACAAGAGGGAAAGAGATGCACTGCGATCGCTCTCGGATAAAAGGCGCACTCGCGTACACCTGAGAGTAGCAGCAGGTGCAGCGCAAGGTCTCGGTCCTCGGACGGAGTCCTGCGCTCTTCTCTCGCGTGACAGCGATCGGCCGATGTACAGCCCAGTATATATGTGTGACCATATAGATGCTCTTTGGGTAGACGAAAAACTAAATTAATGGAAGATTTAACCACTCCGAAGGGAACTTTTAGTTATCCAAAATTACTGCAAACGCGCTACTCTTAGAATTTAGCCTGAAAATCATGGTCATCGTGGGACAATATGGTATTGGAAGAATTTTATATAAGTTTCTCTGATTATTTCTTACAATCAAAAATGTTGATAAGAAAATATATAGCTTTTATTGTGGTAAATATTGTTGTAAAATTCTTCCAATACTATATTGTCCTACGATTACCCATGATTTTCAGAATAAATTCTAAGAGAAAATTCTGTTTGTGCAGGAAACGCGAAAAATACTCAATATAACTGTATAAAGACTATCTTCTATCTTTAAAACATATAAATAAATCATTTCTAGAAAGGACGACGTACATATTTTTCTATCCAAAAAGAAGAAAAGCTATTCATAATTTAATGAATTTTTTTTATATAGAAAATATGACATCCTCACATGCAAGAATGTGTAAATTATCTGTTTCTATTATGTATGCAATTGATTTGTATAATATTGAAAGCGTGTTCTAATATGACGATATTCACGTTTATTAATATACTTATACTTATTAAGGCGAAAAGTGTATTGAAATAATTTTGCCCCTATATTCGTCGCATTCTCTTTCTTTTTCTCGCACTTTTTTCTTTTATTAATACTATTTTTATCCATAATAGCGACCTTGATGGGAACCTGCGACCTACGATGCGACGGTGTGCGGGCACTGCAATTATGTCAGCGCGTGAGTGTCCACCTTTCATTGAGGTTGCATGTTCTCTTGTTGTTATTGTTGAGACGATGGGAAACCTACTACGCGTGCGTAAGACAAATTACATTCATTCTTTTAATACTGCATGCAAAGCAACGTCGCGTTAAAAAATTCTTATTTCTTTCCATTATTTTCTTCGTCGAAAAGTTTCGCGGTATTAAGGACCAATCATTCTATAATAATTATTGAATTAATTAATTTTGTAAATACTATTAAATACACAATATATACTGCTGGCCATTAAATTACATTTATATAGGTCATAAAATATATGTAGAAATTTAATAAAATTCATTAAAATTTATTTATGTAACATATAGATAAATTAATTTATATAGGGATAATATTGCAATCTTAAACCGTAAGCACCTTTACGTTACACTTGACTTTTTAGGAGTTTTCGGAGACTTCTGTCGGAAAATAACGAGTTCTTAACTGACTTACGAATTACAGGAACGGGATATTAGTTAATTAATTCGAAAAGTGCGCCATGCATGAGATTCTCAGATTCGCGCGATCAGATAGAGAGTCGTGAGGCACGAAGGATTCCTCGTGCTCGGTTTGATCCCAATCACGCAGATGATGACGCGGCTCCACCGACAGCTGCATACTCGCGTCATTAGCCGGCACTTCCAGCTTTTGGATCTCACTGATCAGTCATTATCGTGCAGAATCCTCCTATGTTTTCCTACCTACCGTATTCATTCGACCGACAATCGTTTGCGTATTCTTCGATAATGGCAGAAGAGAGTACGGGAGATGGGAATTAAATTATGACCAATAAAATAACAAGGCTCTGAATATATCAATATACGTAATAAAAGGGCTAATGAGGATCAAACGCGAGATAAAAGCGTGAATAGAAACACTTAATTAATTTTGGGCACTATTTATTAGTTTAAAATTAAACATTTCGATTTCACTTCAAGTCATCTTCAGTAAACTGTATCATAAAAATAGAAACACAGAAAAATGGAAAAGAAAATTCGTACAAAAAAGTAGGTATTTATAAAACTAAATTAATAACTAATTTCTTGTTCCAATTTTCTTTTTTTACGTTTCTATTTTTATTATATTTATTAAAGATGGCCCGAAATGTGTGTTTAAACTAATGTCTAAATTTAGGAATTTTTTATTCGCGTCTTTATCTTGCGTTTCGCTCTTATTAATCATTTTTATTATGTATGTTAAATTATAAATTAAGGTGCTCCAAGTTCATAAAGTGCATTACGATTATTTGTGATATTGACACAGTCCAAAAGATTTTTCGAAAATTTCGAAAAAGCTTTGGAATATAAATGTAAAAATGTTTTTCGAATTAAATAGAGTGGAAGCAAAGAGATAATAAGTCATTTTTCACATTTTAAAAATATCATAAAAAATCAACTTTTAAGTCAAAAGTATATATTAATACAAAGTTCAATTATTCAAAAATTAAAAAGGGGTATTAAAAATATCACTTTCTTGAATTTTTGAGAAAATAATCAATTAAAAAGAAAACCAGTTGGAACACTCGTCTATTTAAAAAAATGCAGGAAGGAGAGAGGATCATAAAAAATTCATAAAATAAAAAATGTATAATAAGATTAGCGATTCTCGCATTCGTGAAGATTGAATTTTTCGTCTGTGTTTATTGCTAATATAAATACTATTCTTTTACAAATTGAATTGGCCTAATGACGTCTCGTAACATACATAAAAAATATCGGCTAGCCGAGTCTAGTGACGGAATAATGCTATCCTTAATGACAATGTACAAATGACGCCGATCGACTCGGAGAAAGGGGGATAGACGTTGCTAAATGTCATCCCTCCTCCCTTTTTCATCAACGAAATTTCGCCGATCGGGATCCGATCTGTCGATGATCGTCGTCGAAATTCGGCGTCGCAACGCGACGACCGCGTCGTGTGTCTAATTAATTGTAGCATACTTAAAAAGTAAAATCAAAATCTCTACACATGTACCACGCAGGTGGAATCGAATCGATATAACGGAACCCGCCCTCTTCACTCCCGCGACGAATAGTTAAGCGTTCGACGAGAACTCGAATCCGAAAAAAAAAGAAAAAAAACGAAGCCGGAAAAGGCAAGCATCGAATTAAGTACCCAGTTATGTCGATGTTTTATTTTCTAACGTAAAATGAAATAAATACAATTAACAAATCCTAACTATTAATTGTCAAGGCTGCTTCCTTTCGCGTTTGAATTGCAATTTACGAGGAGCGAGAGAGACTGAGGGCGGGAGTCTAACGTTTTAGCGATATTGCACGCTTGAGTCACGCATATACGGAAACATCGCTGACTGAGAGTATACGAACTCTCGCGATACACAATAAATATACGCAATTATTTTAATCGATTCTGAGGGTGCTTGAAAAAGTGCTGGGACACATCGATATATAGCGCGCGTAAAAATTCGAGCGATTCGGAAACGCGCCGACCTATTAATATCGCGTTCCTCGATCAATTCGAAAGGAATAATTAATTCAACGACGCGAAATCGAGGGAAAATCCTTCGCGGAACTACGACGATCCTGTGCGCGGCTGTTGCTGCGTGTAAAATCCGAAGGGCTCCGCCAAGGACGACGATAGCAGCGGCGTCGAATTCGCGATGGCGACCGAGGACGACGACGATGCCGACGACGACGACGACGATGACGACGACGAAGACAACGGGCCGGTCGTCGAGACACGGGAACGCTGCTGCGACGACGGCGTCTTCTGCTGGCGCTGTCCGATCGTCTGGTGGGATCTGATGGGCACCGGCAGCGGTCGCTGGATCTTCTTGCCGTGATGCTGACCAGGAGCGCGATAACCCTGATGTCCGGGTCCGGTCGGTCGCAATCGCGGTCTGCCGGGACCTCGACGAATCCCCGCGGCACTGCCACGTCCGGACAGCGGTATCAGGGTCCCTACCGGACCCAGGGGACCCACCGTGCTGGGACCGTCTCCTTCGGCAGGATCGGAGCTCGCATGGACAGTCCCTAGGACATAAAAGTACACCGCTTCGTTGTAGGAGATTCTATTTTGGACATTTCGTCGCCTTAGGTATACGGTACCTTAGGTATATGTTCGCTTCGCTGTGTTAATCCAAATCCGATCGATGACGTTTAATGTTTAATGTTTTGTGAGATGTATGATGCGTGTATGTAGATGCGGAAAGAAAAAAGTGCTTGTGCATTCTTCCCAGGGAGATGTTTCTTTCAAGAGCAGTCAAAATCCAATTCGTCGATGTGTTATTTGTATAATAGTTCTTCGATATAAAGAAAATGCTGCGTGGTGAAGGTTTTGAGGATTCCGTTCTTCTTCCTTTTGTGAGACGAATCGATCTGGTGAAGGAGCGTTTGAAGGAGATTTTTCTATGGATGAGTAGGATGCGTGGATGTGCGTGAAAATCAGTGTTCCTCTAGTTCAGACGTAGGATGTCTCGTATTTTGCCTTTATCTCGCCGGCTAGTCGGCATTCCGTGGCACGTACCCGATCGTTCAAGGAGGGCTCTTCTTCAGACGCTAAGGTCTAAGAGGACACTTAAGGGAATGGGCGACAGAATAGAAAACGCGAAGACGCGTCTGTCGCTCGCAAAAGCGGTTCTCGCGCTCTTAAAATGATAATTCGCTCTGGAAATTCCAGACCGCGTGAAACATATCGGAGAATCAGGAGACGAGAAAATCCAAGTGCTCATCCGCACTCGAATCTACGATGATCTCCGTCGCGTATAGAATATCAAGATGAAACATATATCTTCGTTCAATATGAAAATATTTTCGACATCGTTTTTTCATCAAATTGTATGATACAAAAGAAATTATTACTTGAAGCGGATAATTCTTGTACAATTATCGAATATGGTTAGTTTTGTCAGGAGGAGAAATCTGACAAATATTTAAAAATTGCATGAACAATTGCAATGAAGACGAGGATCCAAATGATATTGATAAATAAATTAATTGCTATGATGAAAATGATTGTATACTTACTTTTACCATCTAAGTAATAAAAATTCAATAAACATTTTTCCGAATTAATTTATGATTATAACAATAAATTATATGCGTTTAATGAAAAACGCGACAAGAGAGGAGGAAAAGACGAGCTTGCGAGAACAAAGATAAAACTTTCGAGACAATTGAACGGGGAGGAAATTTAAATAATTATTGCCATTCAATTGCAATGAAGACGTGATCCAATGATATATGATAAAATAATTGTTATAATGAAAATTATGCTATAAGATGAAAATCCGGGACTATACATCTTTTAAGTAATAAACAATTATCCAATACATTTTTCCGATCCAATTGAATTATATTTAATTGATTGTATACTTACTTTTACCATAAATTATAAAAATTTTTCTATGAATTTATGATTATAATTTTATATGCGTTTTAATGAATAAACGCGACAAGAGACTCGGAGGAAAAGACGGAGCTTGCGAGAGGAAAGATAAAACTTTCGAGACAATTGGAACGGGGAGGATCTGCGGAATGTCGACGGTTCAGCTCGCCATATCCTCGCTTCATCTTATCCTGTCGTATTATCCTATCCTATCTCACCCGTGTGTTGCGAGCCGAACCATCTACGCCGTCATATATTTTGTCTCCCATCCGGTCCTGTTCGACCTAGTCTAAAACACTTACTTAGATACCGAGAAAGTTATGGAGATCTAAAATCGAGATAATTGCATTAGCTAACAAGTTCTTCACAAAACCATTTTCCGCCCATTAAATCTAATTGGGTGAGCCTATTAATTATAGGCATTTTGACTTACAGTATAGGATACATATATCGCATTGCTTTGCTTTAAGAAACGAAATTATCTTGATAGAGATCGATTCTTTACATGTCTCTTTGATATTTCAGAAGACGAAGCAGCTGTAAAATCATATGGCAATACTTATCGTTACCTATCTTTATGTTAATACTTCTTCACTGTTTTAAGACACATCCAAATATTTTTTTTTATTTTCTTTCTCATTTGTATTTTTATCGATACTTTTCGTTGAGTAAGCTTTTTCTGAATATTCATTATGAATAAATAATAATTTAATTGAATAAAATTAACTTTCTTGGAGATATTAATAATTTTTAATCTTTGATAAAATCTTTGATAAACATCTTTAAACTGAGCAATCAAATCATAATTTATTCATTCCTGAATAAATTAAAAAAATATAAAATTAACTTTAAAAAAAATATGGTATAAAAAATTTTGACTCTCAATTCTTATATATTAAACATTTTTTAAAGCACGTAAACATATCTATATAAAAACTATTATATTGTTAAAATGTTTATAAAATGTATTTTCTTAAAAAATTGAAAAAATTATGTTAATTATTTTCACAAATACATCCCCATTTTTTTCAAAATAAAAAGAAACGTCAGATTATAAATTCTGATGTAAGAATAATTTTATATTGGAAGTAAGCATTATTTAAATTTCAATCTTAATTCAAAATGCAATAATTTTGCCTGTATGTCTATATAAATAATTTCGAGTACGAGTAAATAGAATGGAGAAAATATGGCACATATATATATTTCGTTATCCAGAAATGCTTTCTTCATGACAATATGAAAATATGATATTCGAGAAGATGCGCGGAGTCTACGGGGACGAGATGACACGGTAAGGTACGGTAAGGTACGGCACGAATCGACAACCCCTTATACAGGGTCCGCGTAATTCCCCTCTGTCCTCTACAAGCCCTATCCTCTCTTTTTTTTATTCTACTTCGTGAAATGACGAGGGAAATTAGATGTCGGGATTATGCAACTGAAACGTATCTTGCGGATTCGTAAGTAGATACTGTTGAATCGAACGGTATACAATTATTTAATAGCAACAATTTTGACAGATATTACTTATAGCAGTTCGTGCTTGAATAAAAATATATTACTATAAATGCAAGTTTATCGTATTAATGCAAGAACATTAAGTTACTAATGGATTAAATTAAATGCGATATTAATAAAGTTTTGAGATATATTGACACGTTTTTTTTCTTCAAAGAGAGCGGTTAAATTCCAATTTATTAAATCGACTGCGTTTCATTCTCTTGAACTGCGATACGTCCTCATTAATCCATCACCATTATCCATCGGTCAAAATAAACGGAATACAACTAATCAGCGGCAATAACGCTGAAAATGTGTACCGGTGAGAGTCTGAAACATTGACAGCTGGATGAAGCGCGCGTCGCATCCCGATAAAGAGATAACTAATGGAGGCGAGGCAAAAACACAGAGAAGATGTGCAAAAAAGCCGGTGACCACGAAGAGGACGAAGGAAACGACAGAAAGGGAGAGAGAAAATAAGAAAAAAAAAAGATAAGAAAAGAAGAGAGAAAGAGGTAGACGCGAGTTCCAAAAACCTAAGAAGAGCATCGATCGCAGCTGTCGCCTTCGCTCCGCACCTGCTATTGTCCGCCTCGTCTTCCAGTCGACGACAAGTGAGAGAGCGAGACCGACCCGTTTTCCTTCACGTGCGTACACGCGGCACGAAGATGGAATGTGTTAAGCGTACTCGCGCGAGCGCCTGTCGTCCACGTTCACGTGGCATTGCGTGAGGTCGTCTTATCGGACACCTACCTCTTTCTCTCTCCCTAATTAACGCGATAACAGCATACTCATGGGTGCCATATAGAAATCCCGGTATTCCGCAGCCTTCCTGATAAAAATTATTTCATCTATTTAAAATTAATTAGAATATTTTTATATTTATCTATAAAGTATAAAAATTTAAAAAAATTATATTTATTTGTAAAGAGAAACTTTTTCCTCTCTGTATCTCTTTTTCTCTCTCCCTCTCTCTTTGGTTACACATTTCCCCCATGTGGAACGCGACGCACTTGTCCCGGGAACACAATGCCGGCTGTGCTACGGCGACAAATGTTTCCAGCCTGGTCCCATACGAATTCGTCGTTCGCCAACCGGGTCGTCAAGAGAAATGAGTCACGAGAAGTTTCACGGGGGTGGGATGTCTCTAAGGGTGCCCCCGTGGAGGAGCGCCAACTGTTACCCCCTCGTGGACATGTGCACATGTGCTCGCGGGGGAATTTTCGACGCAGGCCGACGCGATGATGGGGTCGCGAATGGACCCACGGGTTTCTCTCGCGAACCGCAAAGTCCCCTGAGAACCCGGGCAAGTGCCCGGGCAAAGGATGGGATCGAGGGTGCAAGAAGGGGTGGAAAGGGAAGACAGACCCCCCCGAAAGTGTCAGCGGGGATTAAGTATATCGATTGGCGGGGTCGCGTCCGCGGGAAGAAGTCATTCTTCTCGTGGTAAATAAATAAGCTTCGAAAATTCGCGTCTTCCATCACCCTCGCTTTTATTCAACGTCATCGGACGGGAATTAGACGGCGAACATTACGGTGATATTAATTATGAATAAATTATAATATTCTTTCCTCTGCCCGAACATTTCCGCCCGAGTCTGTATAATCGACCTTGATTATAAAGCTTGCATAAGTTGCATAACTAGCACAAACGTGCGCATTATAACGGTTCCGAGAGCAAATCACAATCGTTAAATATTTATATAAATTATACCATCATGTAGATAACGAAAACGCAAATGCGAGAAGTACTATCAGTGCAATGCAGAATATCTGCTTGTAGCATAAATAATGCAATAATGCATAAACATTGAAAATGCATAGAATATTCCATAAATCTCTCAGCACAATTATTAATGAGATAAAATATGTAAAACTACTCTGTTCAGTCACGAATTATTTCGACGACTCTCGTTTTCAATCATTTAAGCAGTATATGTATATGTAAATCTCGAATGAGATAGGGATAGATCGATCATTCGATTATTAAAAAACAGGTATTTGTCGCATTTTCTTTCGGCGAATGCCATTTCCCATTATGCGAACAAAGCGCGATTAATTCAAAGGGCACTCAAGTACTCACCGTGCTGCAGCGTCTGCTCGTTTGATGATCCACCCCCGTCGATCGGCGATATGATCGAGAGCGAGTCGCTGGTCGCCGCGTTGGGGCCCTTCGATGACGGATGCATCAGAAGCATTCCTCTTCCCTTACCGCCGATCGGTCCGCCCCGGCGTGATCCTCGTGGTCGGCCGCGTTTGCTCGCGCCGCGAACGGATTGTCGCATACGCGCGCTCGCGCTCACGCCGAGGGCGAAGTGATGTCCGAGTCGAGCGACCTTGGACGAAGATTCTCCGAAACTGCCTCGGGAATGTCCATGAGAGTGGTCGCCGCCGGAAATCGGACCGTCCACGTCAACCACGAGTCCTTCATTACTCGTTTCATCCTAAAGATAAAAAGAAATTGTATTAAAATCAGTTATGAAGAATCCGTATTGCTATCGCGTTATTATATAGATAACGATATGAGGCAGAGAAGAACGTAATCGAAATATATTTTCGCTCGAAATTAAGTATTCTAACAATTTTGTTTTCAGTGGAAATTTTTATTTTAAACACAATATAAAAGTATAATATCAAATACATATAATAAAATAAATATAATAAAAAATATTAAAATGAGTCTTAATAAATTTTTAGTATTATCATTTTGTATAGATACGTACTTCTGACTTGGCCGGGCTTGTTGGCGTGCTGTAATTATCTACATTTTCTAACTGCTGTTGATGATTGTTCTGGTGCTGCAACTGAATCGGATTGACGCCTGGTTTTGGCTCATTAAGATTAACTTGAACGGTATCGTTGTTTTTGTCGCCATTAGCGTCTGCATGACACGGTTTCTTCGCATCATTCTGGAAAAAAAATTGTAAATGTGAAAAATACCATCGCAACAATGAAAGATTACTGTTCTAATGAAATTAAGTGCGCGAAATCTAATTAACAAATTCGTTCTGCATTGTTAGTTATATTTCCGGACAATTCATCGAGCATATGCGAATGAATTAAATATTAATACGGAAAGATATATCCCCCAAAGACAACTTCAGTAGTGCAAACCGATAGTCTCGAGTATCGAAAACCCGAGAAGTAGAGGCATTAAAAGTAGACGGCAGAAAAAAGACAGTGTGGTAGAAAGACGGGAAAACGACGAAAGAAAAAAAAGGGAGGAAAAAAGAATCTTTGCGACGCGACTGATAGAATAGTGTGTAAGGGCGCCGGGCTCACCTTGACCGGAAGCGCGGTTAACTTCCTCTTCCGGTCCCTCTCCTTGTGCTGTAGGTTCGACTCGAGGCGAGCCTCTTCTGCTCGCTGCTGCTTTCTCTCCTCGCTTCGTTGGCTGTCTGAAATATACACGGACATGTACTATACAAGCCGAGGATGCGGCGGCACAAGTTCGTTACTCCGTTTCTTATTATTATTCCTTATTAGGCCATTAGCATAACCTAATGAGCATAATGTAATCGCGGCCACCTCGGCCGTCTCCCTCTCTTCCTTGACTCGTTTTCGACGAGTTTGTGTATACACGCGCGTCCTGCCGTGCGATAGAACGGTCGATAGAAGCGGTGGCTCGAATAAAAACTCGACTATCTAACAACATTCTATCTTTTAATCACGCACTCGTGGCGAGTTTTAATTTTAATGAGATATTTTTTATTAATTTAGAGGGAAGACAACAACGTCCTCTTCTACTTTTTCTCAGTGCCGATTGTTCGGCGAAAATTTAATTAAAAATTTAGTCATAAAGTTTCGAGATAAAAAAATTTTAGCTTATTTTTTTTGATAAAAATTTTAAAGATAATTAATGACACATGCACAGTCTTTAATTTTATATTTAATAATCAATCATAATTACCAGAGAAAACTATATTATTAATTGTTAATATATACTTACATCTCGCTTCGATTTCCTCGTCGTCCAGCAGCAGCGACACGACTTCCTTAGGTTTCAGAGTATCGGGTTTAAAATTTCCGCCGCTTATGACCATACGTTGTATCTGCAATAAATCAAACTCTCATTCGAGCGCATTGTTTATTTAATTTAAGATATAATAAAATGGTAAAACAGTTTACGAAAACAGACCTCGCTCTTCTCGCGCGCTCTTTGCAAAATTCGTTCCTCGATAGTTCCTTTGCATATTAATCGGTAGACCGTGACTTGCTTGGTCTGCCCCAGTCTGTGGGCGCGATCCATAGCCTGTTGGTCTACAGTGGGATTCCAATCACTATCATAAAATATCACCTGTAAATAGATATTATTAATTTACAGTTTTGCAAAGAATTTATATAATTATGGATGCGATAATTGCATATTTTTTACGCGCAAAAATAAAAATATATATATGCTCCTTTCTATCAATATTATTACGAACTTATTGCTTCCTTTCATATAAATAATTTCCATTCAATTATAATTCATTATACTTTAAGAAAAGTTATATAAATAAATTATATAATTTTCATTTATGTGTCATTTAAATATCTCTTTTTACCTTGGAATCAATTAATGATTAAATTCGTAAGAAGATATTTATTACATAATCGGTTTTGACTAATCTACAACTTATGGATTTAATTCCATATACGACGTATTTTAAATTTTATATTCCGTATATAAAGAATAGAAACCGAAAGTCGGAATAACGAATAAGTGAGTATATTTAAGGTGGTATAAAACAAGAAAATAGATTTACTGACCGTGTCTGCCGCGGTGAGGTTGATTCCCAGACCACCAGCTCTAGTGCTGAGCAGAAAGACGAATATGTCCGCCCTGAAACAGTCCCACAGATTCTCAACTACCGTTTCATGAAAAAATACGATATTATGATCGTTTTGTATGTAAATTAATTCATGGTGCCGGGGCATGTTTGTGAAGGATTTCCAGCTAACGAAATCCTCCACGCCCATTCGATCATGAGATTTTGAGATTTGAAATGGTTTAACAAGGCATTCTCTTTCTTTGCTCTTTCTTCTCCTTACAATCTTATAGAAAATTAGACTACGACGCATAATTATCGAATGATAAATTACAAAATAAAAAGCTGGCGATATTTAAATATAACGATGTAAGAATACAATTTATTTAAGATTCAAATAAAACTTGAGTATAGAAATTCGATAGATTGTGTAATGGTCTGCCTAGTAAATAGCCCACCGTTAGAACTGCAGGTTCGTGACTGTCGTGCATTGAAAAACCTGCAGCTGTCTGCAGGATGGGGACGATTCGGCAATTAATTCGCGTGTTAGTTATGCGCGGCTGAGCCACGCAGAACATGCGATCTCGGAATCGCGCTTTAAGTATGCAACCGGAGACTGTTCGCGGTTGATAGATATTCTAATCAACGCAGTACAGTTTGGATTATTATTATTACGAATAACGTATTTTCTCATTAAAATGAGCAACTGACGCCGAGATCTCGAATAATTAAAAATTCTCACAATCTGCGTTTATATAATTGAGCTATTCACGTTCTTTATCAAATTGTTGAGCAATATTTTAACATTGCTAAAAAAAATGCACAAAACAGTTGTAAATGTGTGAAAAAAAAAAAACAATTACCTCTTTTGAAAATCTGCTACCATGTCCCGTCGATCCGAGATCTTTGAGGAGCCATCTAATCTCATAAATGTGTGTTTTCTGTGATACATGTATTCCTATAAAAAAATGAAAATTTCTCGTTTATTTCTCGTATATATTTAATATATACAATATTTTATATTTAATTATATATATATATTTAATATATATGTCTCGTTAAAAAAATGTTTATTTGATGCGGGGGGCATATAGATATGTATGTGACAGATAAATATATATACCTCAAGCAAGTCAATCATCTTCGTCATTTGCGAGTATATAAGCACTCTATGACCTTGTTCCTTCAAACGTCGTAAAAGACTATCCAATACAGAAAGCTTGCCGGCATCTGTCACTAATGTTTGCTTATCTGAAATAATTTAATTTATATAATCACCCAATTATTTTATTTCTGTAAGAATTCTAATATAATTATATTAAAATATGTTCTTTGATAATTCTTATATCACTTTTCATATCATATTTGATTAGTTGAATTGTTAAATATACCTGGCACAATGATATGTGACCATCCATTAAGAGGAGCGCATGCAGACAATCCACCTTGCGGTTGATAGCAAAACGTTGACATTGTTTGGCCGGTACGAATGCATGATTTCTCTTCAGAAAATGCTCGTTTAGAGCCGAGCCAAAGTAATCTTTGACCGAATGAACCACCGCAATCCTCGTGTCTCTTCCAGGCGCATGCTGCGGAACTATTGCTTACGTATAATTTTCGCGGACTAGCTTGAACCTGCAATTAAAATTAAATTAAAAATTAGATTGCGATTCCTCGTTTTTCTTTATCTTTTTCACGTAATGCAACAATTATATTAACCTTGGGATTGTTATCACAAACAAAGGCAGGAATCGTTGTCTGTTGACAATATCGCATTATAGGCTGCCGTGGGTGATGAGGATGTTCGTGTAATAGAGATAATTTCGAATCTTCTGTTTGTTCCATTTTACCAGTGGGAAGTATCCTTTGTAACTAAAATATTAAGACACGCTACATCACATATTCTGTAAACTTTTAGAGATTACATGTGTATATATTATTATGTAATGTAAAATATAAATTACCTTTGGTAGTTGATTGGCTTTCTTACTGCTACGTAGTATTCTGTGAGCAACCGTTTCCGGCATCGAATGTATCGTATGGGTGGTATGTGTGTAGAAAGCCTCGCCCTCAATTATTTTTCTTGTAAAAAATATATCTTGCAATGTTGCCGACAAGGAGCCAATTTTTCTAGGTAAATAAAACATTTGATTTGCGGGTATTCTCGATCTGTGATCGACGCACCAATCTTCCCAATATTGTACCATTTTCAATCTTTGCTCCATAAACGTTACAAGACATAATCTGCACAAAAACATTTATAAAAAAATATTAGTTAATATAGTTAATGTAATATATGAGTTATTCTTTTTTTTAACACTCGTTATTTACATACCTAAATAAGGTACCAGCGATAAATATTTTGTTTATTTCCATTGGAGATAAATCGATAAATCTACTAAATGAAAATGCATTTTCGAACAAATTTTCGTTGCAATGTAGAGCACGGTGAATATATTCAGTAGCAAATATAACAATTTGTTATACAACAAATGATCTTTGGATGGCAATGCTAGATGCAAAAGTCCTTCGATATACAGCAAAACAGGCATATTATAAAATTCTGTATTCATAAAAAACGGCGATCTAGCATCCCTACGTTCAAAGAGTTCCGGGTGATTACAGACCTATAATTAAAATAATTAATTTAATTAATAAAATTTACTTTTAAAAATTATAGATATATATTGTCTTTAAGATTGTTTTAAGATATAAGTTATCATAATTCATAATAATAAATTAAATGTTAAAAAATTAAATATAAAACAGACACAATGCTAGATAAATTGATAAAGATACCTACATATACTTGCTAAAAAAAGAATATTGTACCTTTCGGAACTGCATGACTAGATTCATCAAATTGGAAGTAAAGTTTTTATCATTAGAAGCAGTGTCTCCTCCGCCTACTGTATAATGCAGTAAATCCTCTATCCGAATCTTTTTCTTCAATGCTACATAAATAATATACAAATGTACCAAATATCGTAAACATGTAATGTTAAAGAAAATGAAATCGAGATACCTGAATAAAGCAGTTTTTGACGAGTTGTAAGTGGACAATAAACCATTATTTCAATCTTATCAGATAACTCATTCTCTACATCTTTTTTTATTCTTCGTAACATAAATGGTTTCAAGATCATATGAAGCCTTGATAAGTGTTCTAGTATGAAATTTATAATATAAACATTTTATAATGCATAATGTACAATCTGAAATTTAATACTGCATTTTGTGCAAAATTACTCACTTTCATCTATTCCTGTTTTATTCTCTGCATGACTTTCAATATCTTTGGAGAACCATTCGTTAAATTCATCGTGTGAATCAAACAATGTAGGCATGATAAAGTGTAATAATGCCCATAATTCTGCCATGCTGTTTTGTATAGGAGTACCACTGAGTAATAATCTATTACGACAACTGAATCCTAATAACAGCTTCCATCTCACGCTATGGAAACAATTATAATTAGCTATCAAATGCAAGTATTATACAATAATGAAAAAACGTAAAATAATATACCTGTTTGTGCTTTTAATAGCTTGCGCTTCATCCAAAATCATGTATTGCCATTTTATTCTATTGAAATATTTATAATCCGTGATCACTAATTGATAACTTGTTATTACTACATGGAAAGAAGCTTCTTTCGTATGCAAATCTTTAGTATCCCAAAACTGTCTCAGTATTTTGCGTTCCTGAGGATTACCCCAATATGGAACCACTTTGAACACTGGTACAAATCTTGCCATTTCCTGTTGCCAATTATGTAATGTTGAAGCTGGCGATATAATTAAAAATGGTCCCCAAACCGCTAAAATTATTCAATTAAATATACTTACTTCTTATAAAAATTTCAACAAATACAATGCATTTAGAAGTAAACTGTAATAGTCAAAATACTTGTAAATACTTACAATATCTTTCGGCAACATGACACAAAAACGCTATGGATTGTACAGTTTTTCCTAAACCCATCTCATCAGCTAGTATACCACTAATACCCTGAAAATCATTGACAAAGAGATAGTAAATGTTCATTCTTATGTAATAAAAATATTGCAACATTGCATATACATAATTACAAACCTGATCGTACAAATTTGCCAACCAATTCATTCCTTTTAATTGATAACCCTTCAGACTTCCCTTAAAAATTGAAGGTTGAGGGTGCTCTAGGTTTTCAGGTGTATCACTGAGACGCAATTCTTGAGATGCAGCAGCTGTATCAAACTGCTTGGTTCTCGCTTTTTCATTATTAAATGCCTCAGTAACATTTCTCTTTGCCTTTTGTTTCATGATTTCACTGCACATTTAATAAACACGTATTTTGTTCTTGAATCTTTGTATAAGTCGAAATAATTGAGACTGATCTTTCTTAATTATATTCATAATAAAATGATTGAGTTTTTCGAATGTAGGTAAATAAAATTATACATTTAAGTACCTGTCATAATCGTCGATACCGATAAGTCTGGGATTCTTTTCTTCGTCCAATTGATTCAAGATTCTAAATTGTTCCTCTGCCGATATTTTATTTATTTTTCGCGACATGAAATGAGCGTACAATTCTGTTTGAGTAATAAGGAAATTTAATTTCCTTTGTTGACGTTTTGCCTGAAACAAAAACACATAATATGTGAGAAAAATATATAAGTAACAAAAATATATCTCAATATAATCTAATAGCTCCTTACTTCGATAAGTTCTACATCCATTTTACGTTGTTCCTCAGCTTCCTTTTCTAATCTTCTCCTCGTTTCTCGTTCGACTCGATCATAACGTTTCCAATAAGATTGCATTTCTCTTGTCAATCGTTTTGCTCTCCAAATAGTTTCTTTCATATTTTTCTGTGACTGAATCACATAGGAATGAAGTAGTGTTTAGGATGTACAATTCCAGTGCACAAGAAATCTAAGTGTCAACTTATACTTACTTGCATGGCTTTCTGCCTCCAATATTTCATACAGTGCTGCGCTACCTTTTTACAACTTATTAGCATTTCCTTATGATTATTGGTTTTGGCCCTTTGTACTTTTCCTAATTCCTTCTTAGACATCATGACCCATATCTTTCTTCTTCTCATTGTCATTACCTCCACACTCTTAGTGTTATGTTTCTTTCTTCCTCTACCACGAGGTTGATGACGCATTATAGCTTCTAATTCAGCTTCATCTAATTCTTCCTCTTTAGGAATTGATTTATCCCATTCTCCTTCTGGGAAATTTCCTTTCTAAAAGTGTAAAATTTTAATTAAAAAAAAAAACATTACGCAAAATGCAAGCAAAAGAGAGCAATATAAGACTCAATACATACACGGTATTCTTCAGATTGATGACGATTGACCTTTTCTTTCTTGATTCTCATGATTTTTTTATCTGGTTTTTTCTCTTTTTTCTTTTTATTTCCTACAATCAACTTTTGATGTTCTAAAAATCTATCATAATTCGATAATAAACCTGCACTGTAGTACTGATATTGTATATTCTGAAAATGACATTATTTCATGACATTTTGAATTATTATAATGTTTGATAATGTTTAATTATCTGTTAAACGTACTTCTGGTTTCTGATAAAAACGACCTTGATATTTTTTTCGTAATATATGAAATTTTAACATTTCTTGAAAATCATCTTCTGTGATTTGGCTATCTGTGTCAGAGCCTGATGCGGAACTATCGGATGAATCACTTAACAAAATATCTTGTAACCAACGCCGTTCTTCTCCCACACTAGACATGTTATACAATCTTAACTTATTAATCCTTGCCTCTGTAAAAACAATATTATGAGAAAGCTGATGCTAAACTAATTTGGATAGAACTAAAATTAATACTGTATATCTACCTTCTTTTTGAGTGAGTACATTATCTAGGTAAGCATCCGATCCATCAGAAGATTCTGATGAAACAGACTTGTCATCTTCACTGAAGAAAGAGAAACAGATACAATATATATATTATTTTGTTCCCAGCATTAATTTATGATGCGTTGACTTGTGAATTAGAATAGTGTTAATAATATTTAGCGCTGGTATTATTACCTAACTTGTTCTTGAAAGAGATTGTTAATTTGTCTTAAGAAAGGCTGCAAATTGAGGCTGCGTTCCAATCTTTGCAGATGCAAAGGAGCAGCCATTTCAGCTTCCAGCTTCATTGTGTATGCTCTATCAGACATTACCTATCTGTGCAAAACCTAACGATTATCTGTAACAGTGAACAATGAATAAAATATAATTAGGAGGTTTCTCAATTTATACAAATATCCATTTTATGTATCATATAATACGCACAATCATCAATACAAATAAAAGTCTGCAACGTACAGAGAAATTTTTTAACAACACTTGATCTAATGAATAACATACGTATATATATGGTCAAGTATTAAATATACATATATATAACATAAGTCAGCAAAGCAATGTAACGGAAAGGAAAAATCATCACAGTTGATTATAGGCTATAATGCAAATAAATAAGAAAAATGCATATTACACGAAGAGAATCATCGCGCGATCTGCTAGGAAAAACCCAATGTATTCTCCGCGTTTTTTTTCAATAACAAACCGCAGGAAATCGCGGTCCACTGAGGGCTGCTATTGTACCCGGAGCTTTTTCGTATTCCTGGAAACGGTCGATGCATATCTCGGGCGTGGAGGCCCGAGTCATGCGAGCTCGCGGCTAATTTTATTATATAAGAATGACACGTCGTATCGTGGTCCGGCGCGGTTATAATTCGGCTAAATTATTTTCGCTAACAGTTTTGCCTTCACCTTGTTGTGTTTTGGTTATATGCGCGCGGCCCCCGCGCTTATTTCGCACGCGAAACAGAGTCGGTTACTGGAATGCGATTTCCTCTGTTCACAGCGAAATTAGATATATCAGTCGGAGGGGAATACATGGTAGAAGGAAGCCTAGAGAACGCAGACATTTGGCGTGCTATTAAAGCAGGGCAGGGATAGGGCATTATGTTCGCCACCATTTTTGTTTTCAATAGGTGGCGCTGGACGCGCCTAAACGCTCAGCCTCTGACGATCTTCGTTTCTGGATACTTTTCAATATCCCTCATCTAAAATATCATTTCAAATTACATAGTATATATACGTCCCTACACCTTTTTCTCTCTCTCTCTGTCTTACACACATTCTCTCAATTTATTTTCTTATAAAAATATATGCTCGAAATTAATTAAATTTCTCTCCAATATATATATATATGTCAATCATATATAATTTTTAATATTTTCGTACAATATGCTAGAATAAAAATACATAATTTTTATAATAAAATGCTATGAAGAAAAATTGCGATAATACAATTTCGAGAGAGATATGAGTTGGAGCAATTTTGTTCCATGGATTTATATCCGATTGATAAATGACTAATTTTGGTTGACGTATTAATTAATATATAGTGCCCGCATACTGAAGCAATGATTTGTAATACTCACTCTTAAGAACGATGATTCATCAGAAATGATATCTCACTTTGACGAAACTGATATCTCTTCTTACTCTCGAGCTCGAGACGCTCCGATTCCGGACGAGTCGAAAGTTTAAATAGCGCTACTACGAAGTCCCACTTCCGCTTCTGCGCGTTGCACGCGTCTAGCCTCAAACCCGCACCGGAAGTATCACTGATTAATCATTGACGCATTCGCTTAATCGACAAACCTCATTCCAAATTCCAATCTTTCCGTTTCATTCCGAAGAGAGCTCGTGAAAACTCGTTAATATTATCAAACCGAATTATCATCAATAAAAAACGACTAAACTCTTCGAAAGAATCGGTAAGTGGGAGAGGCAAGGGGAGAGGGTACTGTTCGATTCGAGATATCGAGTCGATATGTTACATATATATTTCTCGCTTTCATAATACATAATACATCTTCAATTGTACAAAGAATCTTTTCTCGTATACTTCAAGTACTCACGCAAACGAATTTTCCTCTTCCTGCGTTTGTTCTCTCGAGCGCGCGCCTTTCTCGACCTTCCTCTTCGCGCCATCGCGTCGTAGTGGCGCGGCGGAGCCGAAGGGGGGGGGCGTGGCAGAGTCGGATGGAGTGGGGGAAGCGAGCCGTCTGGCGTCGAGATGTCTCTCTGCGCGCAGTCGTGTGGACCCCGCTTGGTTTCGTCATCGTTCAGGCGTCCCTTCCCGCTCGCAGTACTTCCTGCAGTTTCACTGGTTTCGCGTCGTGCGGAGGAGTCGCACGTCGATAAAACGAGCTCGAGGTTAAATCACAAGCTAGAAACTATTCAGGTGAGCATGACTTTAGAACGCCTCCTCCGTCCCGCTTTTGACAAATCGACGAAGCTAGGCGAGAACCGCGTACCGAGACAATCGCATCCGCGAGGTACTTGGGCTTGCGTTCGCGGACAGAGCACGAGGCCGCCCCGTGTTAGCGACACGATTTTTTTTGGCCGCCCTGGGTGAACGAAAAGACCAAGGGAAAAAGGAAGAGAAGGTGCGACGAAATTAGGACAACCGCGCGGACGCGCAACCTGTTTGTTTGTTTACGCTTGTCGTCGTCGTCGACGACGACGTGACGAAAACGCAAATCATTCTCCCGCGGCCATTATTCGGGATTTGCTCGCGACGCAATTAATCTGCGTTCTTTCCGTATCGATCCGCGTCCACGGAAATCGCCCCGGAGGATTCTAGAAATTTCGAGGCGACCTCGTGTCGCGATTTTATTGCTCCGGAAAAAAAAAAAAATTGATTTTTTCGTTCCGCCTCGTTAAATCAGTCGCGCAGCCGGGAGGGGAAATTTTTGCGCGTCTCGTTTTGTGGGCGGCCTGGGACGACGAGGGAAGAAAGAAATTGTGCTCAATTCGATTTACAAAACACGTGTCGACGACGCGTATTTTCTCCGACAAAGGAGCCCGGCCTCTGTACTTTTACTTCGTCGAGCATGTAAGCCCTACATCGCAAAGCGTACGAGAAAAAAAAAATATATATATATATAATTAACGAATATAATTAAAAGTTAATGTATAATTAAATATATATAATTAATATATATAATTAATTATAATAAATCTTTTCTATATGTAACTTTCATGCGTATAAGAGGAACATTCTTATTGTAATGATATATATGCAGCATAGCATACCCTTGAATATTTCTTTTCATATACTTATGTACTCAAAAAAGGTCAAGTATACAAACGCCGTTATGATTACGTTATGTTATTTATTTTGCAAAAGATTGAAGTTTACTCGTTCATTGGTTAGAGTTTCAAGAAAAAAAAAGAAAAAAATAACGATTCTTTTATGTTGATTAAACAGCAGGTTCTCCAGGTAACCTGTTATGTAAGGTGTTTTTATATTTTCCTTTAAGAATGAGCACTCGAGTATTCGTTGGTGGATTAACATACCGGGTGAGAGAGCGCGACCTTGAGAAGTTCTTCCGGAAATATGGTAGAATCAAGGAGGTCGCTATGAAGAATGGATTTGCCTTTGTGGTAAGTCTAATGTGGTTCAATTGTTTTTTTACAGTATGGTAGGGACAAGGGTCTATGTCGGTGGGCTTCCATACGGCACCAGGGAAAGAGACCTTGAGAGATTTTTCAGAGGCTACGGTCGATTCCGTGATGTTCTCATCAAGAATGGTTATGGCTTTGTTGTAAGTATTGTATACAGCTTGTAAATATCCAGAATAACACTTTGCATTACTCAATTTAGTCCCATGATAATGTTCAGTCAATTTCATAGGCTGCATAGTTAAAGTTTAATACTGAAATAATAATTTGTAATACTTTTCATTTATGTTCTTGTATTATTATTTATCATTTTAAACAAATTTTATATGATGAGAACTATTTATATTTGATGTTGCAATTCTCTTTGCATCAATATGGCGATTGTGCAATTATAAAATCACAAATGTTGTTCTCAAAAGATAGTTTACTTCATTTTTTGCTATCATGATTTGGACCAAAATGAGTACATTGCAATGTGTTAAACTACAAACATACAACTTGATAACCTGAGTTGACCTGACCTGAGCCCTGAGCACATTGGTGACTGCTTAGAAGAGCTGCTTATCATCGATTATTCTGCGCAAATTTTGTAAGTTATATCCGGGAAAGAGGAAACCATTTTTATTGGGCATACATATGTATTACGTAAATAATTATTCATATGAATAATTTGAAATTTTATCAGCACTTGTATTAATCAGGGTCTCTTCGCACTTTGTAGTATAATTTGATAATGTATAATTTATTTGTTAGATTAAATTGCGCGTGATGTATTCTATTAAAAGATACGATCAAAATAGATTTGTTTATAAACAATTTTAGAATATCATAGATATAGTAAAGCGTGTATTATTGTTGCCACACATTAATATAAATCATATATACTTTATGAATAATACAATATATATATATATATATATATATATAACTCGATAAATATTAAACTTTTTAAATTAATTAGTTATATATATATGTATTAATTACATTTATATTGGAGGTCGAGATTATTCGTGTGTAAAAGATGGTAAAGAATAAAAAAAATTGTAACATAGTTATATCTATTCGAGATAATAACAGAAAAATTTCTTTTTTCTCAGGAATTCGATGACTATAGAGATGCCGACGACGCCGTGTATGAACTAAATGGAAAGGAACTTTTAGGAGAAAGGTAATGCAAATCTGTCTTATTCAGTGTATGAAACATATATGTACACTAGGCGATTATATTAGGCGGAATGTGGTATAGGTAGCATGTTTGCATGATTGACTAGTTTCTATCGCAATCCATTTAGTATGTGGATTGTTACTTTGATTACATTAATGTTTGATACCTTATCATAATATTATTGGTACTGGGGGCTCTCTGTATATAATCTAAGCAAGTTTTTTATAGATAGCATTTAATTCATTATGCTAACACTGAGGATGAATTGATGACATTCATTTGGAATCGACTAATATTACATGTATAATAGATACAACTCCTTCCTATGATCTTTGTATATGTCATCTTAATAATACATTGAATCTATTATTGTAATTAACTTTACATTTTACCGTTTCTACATATATGTATAAATATTTATAGGGATAAATTTTAAAAAGATTAATTCAGGTTATATACAATGATTGGTTACATGTTATTAAAATTCACGAAGACTAATTATTGAAGAATAGTAATCCTCTTACAGCACATAACATCTTAATATTTTATTAATTTATAATATGCGATATTTATAAAATTGATTCACAAATAACTTAATATTTTCAGATAAAATTATTTATTTTTCTTTTAAACATTCTCACTCCCGCTAACTTTTTTTTTTTAAGGAGTTATGTGTTCTTTATGATTATTAATGAGACTGAATAATTTAAAATATCAACTAAATTAAGTATTTTACATATGATGTCTTGTTATATTAAAGTTTGTTATCGTATACTCTATATAGCTCTTGCTGGGTTATTCGAGATAAGATGTTGATATATGAGAAGCAATAGCATTCGAATAAAAGAAAAAAAAAAATTATTCTATTTATAAATTTTTGTAAAAAATAATGTTCATTTAGAAAATGATAAAAAATTTCTATTTTCATGGTGTATGCTTGTCTCTATCTGTTTTCCTATTGGGAATTTATGTAAGTGTGTCAGTAATGTTAGTGGCTTCTCTACATAAAATAAATAATAATAGCTTTTTTTAACATACAATACTGAAAAAAGTGCGGTCGAACGGAAGTATTCTTAATACTAATCGCATCATGTTTCAACCTGTACCAGTAATATTATTCGCTGTTGCTTCTATTTGATTAAAGACAAATGTACAATGCACAATTATCTGTTCAATGCATTAAACGGGTATTTCATTAATGCCTTTTGATTTTGCGTCTTTAGTAAAAGCGGCGTCTATCCTCCAAATTAATTGGATCTTTACCGAGATAAAGAAAAAGTGCGTCTTAAAAGACCGTTGTGACTTACCGCCATTTTGAACTACTTCCATCAATTCCCCGAGTAGCAAATGATTATCAAAGTAATTATAAATATATCTACGTCTGGAGAAATGTTATATTGCTTCTTTTTTACGAAAGGGCATTCGGCACTTTTTCATAATTTCATCGCGTGATCCTGTATAAATGCAATGCTCTAACTAGAGAAAAAGAAAAGAAGGAATTGTGTGAAAAATTATACAGATCACGGATTTGATTACGAAAAAGCTGATGGATGTGGTGAAAGAGAATTAACTCGGTGATAAGTAGTGTTGTTATAAGGAAGGCAGTTTAGATTAGGGAACGAGGACGAATCGTAAGAGAGAGAAAGAGAGAAAAAGAAAGAGAAATAGGGGGAGAGAGAGAAAAAAATAGTGCCTCAGACGAAACTGGACTAAAAAATACTGAAAAAGAGAGAGAGGATATTTGGATATTTGAACAGATTTCGGGAGAAAGGAGGCTGAGGAATGGAAGGAAAAGGAAGGAAGGAAGGAAGGAAGCAGCTTTAGAGAGTAAGAATTAGTCGTGGACTTAGGCGGGGTTTTGTTGGGTGTGTTTCAGAGTGGCGGTGGAGATAGCACGGGGTGTTTCAGGGAGGCGAGGCGACCGTGGCTACGGACGCTCACGCTCCTGGAGAGACAAGTAAGCATATCCAATGTGTCTTGTTACAGAATTACTGTAGAGAGGGCCCGGGGGACACCTAGGGGTAGTGACCAGTGGCGCTATGGTGACTCCCGTGGTGGTTATGGGGACTCGAGGCGATCTGCGTAAGACACGCTATCCTTTTTTTATTTTATCAGAGCGATCATTATCCCCTCCCCTGCAGGCAAGTCGGCTCAGGATGTGCGAAATCCAAAATCGATTGATCGATATTTTTTTAATCTCCAATTAGATTCCAATACCTTTCTTTTATATATGACTTTTTTTGTCTCTTCTTTTTTTTCTCATGTACATCGCGTTATGTCTCGGTAAATTTTTTCTATTTTTTTTCTTCCTTTTGATAGATTTCGCACATCGTCCGCAACAGGGAAGAACGTAACCTTGGATATTGATAAGCTCTAGTATAGAGAGAGCATTGATGAATCGCGTTTGCAAGCTTCTCTTGCATTTGCGCAATTAAAAAAAAAAAAAAATATTAAAGTCCGATTTAGAAATCGAGAAATTTTCTGAATTGGTTGTCTTGGATTTGACTGCTCTCCCGAGTACGTCGAATTGTCGAAAGTGTTCGCCGCGATAAAGATAAAAACGATAGCAAGAAAAAGAAACGCCTAGCGATTAACCCTCCCAGAAACATTATGTTTATTACTGGTAGTTGAACAAGATGGACCGAGTGAAAATTGATGACTAATAGATGTGTGGTATTATGTTTGTTACAGCCGAGACGATATGCGGCACGACAGGTACGCTATTGCTGCATTTGAATAGATTTGATTCGATTGGAACAGGTGATTGATTGTGTGCCTGAGCAATGAGTGCAGATCTGTAGTTATTTGCTGAAGGTTTAACCGACGATCCGTTATTTCTGTTCACATGACATCCCTTTTTGCAGAGATAGTGTGAACAGAAACACGAGGACCGCATCTAGCTACAAGCAATCATTGCCCAGGTACATACATCCAATGTTACGCTCTAACGATTACAATTTAACTTAACAAACTTTAACTGTTGCAAATGTCTTGTCAAGTAATATTAGTATTTCTTTTTTGCGTTTTATATACCATACTTTCATTCGCTACTGTATTAACGTAAAGTCAGGTCCAAGACAAACCTGCTTGCTCTCAGAGATATACATGAAGATAATGGTCAATCTTTTTCCCGTTGTAGATATGGACCACCAACACGGACCGAATATCGCCTCACCGTGGAGAATTTATCGAGCCGCGTCAGTTGGCAGGTAAGCGGCACACAGATATCTTGCTTTTTTCTTTCTCGTGCATTTTTTTACCTCATTTGTATGTTCGTTTACTTTACTACTCGCGATTCCAGTGAAGACGTTGCACCGCTTTATATGCGTTTTTTTCGTATCTATATCGCTGAGAATCTCTAAGTTTTACCGAGTTTTTCGGCCGGTTGTTTGTGCCAAATTCCACGCGTATATTTACAGCATTTTTTTTTTTTTAATTCAATTCTCTTTCGTCTCACATTTTACGTTCATTTACTCATTTGAAAAAGAGAGCCCTATTTTGGAATTGAAAGATGTAAGATTTTGATCAAGTAAGTCTGTGGCAAAAGTCGAAATTTCCATGAAATTCATGTGCAAAGATCGTTTTTTTTCATGAAAACGAAAAGATGAAACACAAGAGAGGGGAAGATAAGAGAGTAAAAAAATCTGTTATATAAAAATGACAAATAAATTAGAATTCACGTATGCGAGACGCGAGAAATTCATGGAACATCACCAGACCCGACAAAGGACACAGGCATGCGCAGAGGAAGCAAACTCGGAGAGTAGCAACGGCCCGTGATGATGAAAACCATGATAGGCAACCGGATAGTCTCGGACGAAAATGTTTAGCGGATGCCATGGACGAAGAGCTGTAAAGCGGAAGAAATGGAAGCGATCGTACAGAGGAGACGCAGGACAAGCAAATGCAAATGATATGTGGGAAATACCAGGACGCAAATAGATATCTCGAAAAGAATTATGAATTTTGATCGAATCGAAACGATAGAGACAGACTACTTTTTATCTGCACGTGGACCAAGTCTTACTTGATCAATTTACATTGCGTACATTTGTATATTATAATGCAATCTATAATATATCTATCTCGTTGCACTTTTCCGATGATTGGTTGTTATAATTGACGCAAAGATATTCTCTCACTCACTCGAGTCTCGATTGTTCGACGTTACTTTTTCAATTTATTATTTCATTTACGTTACGGCCAGCAGTTTTTGAGGAAAAACAAAATAAAATTGATGTTCTTTCCGAAGAGCCATATCCTCTTCGCCGAGGACGGGCGACCGGTAGGGCCAATAGACTGATGATGTGCGATGATGATAAAGATGACGATGCACACGATGGGCCCGCTAAGGTCAAGTGGCACCTGTGGTTGGTTTCTGAGGTGTCCCGGGTGACAGAGAGAGCCGCGTGGCATGGGGGTGTACACCTATGTCTACCACCTATCTACCATCTACTTGCGCGCCGTGATACGTGGTGAATCCCGGTGAAATCCCAGTGACGAGATAGGGTTATTGTGTGTACTCCGATCTTCCTCCATCGTGATCGCTGGGGGAAAGAAGGGAGAGGGGAACAGAGAGACCCGACCGCTGCTATCTACCTTACTCCATCTGGGAGAGACAAACGTTTTATTTACGTAAAAAAAAAAAAAACCATCAAATATATACATCACCACTCTTCCTCTTACTACAGACCGCGATACACGGTCGTATAATTCAGTACCTTCACCATCGACATCACCATTACATCCACCAACCATCACATCTACCATTCCACCGTGACTGTCACTGCCACTGGTGTACGCCACGCAACCTAGCCGTCTAGTAAGTCAGGCAGCGGCCACAGCCATGAGGGCGATACGCGGGTCGAAACCCGAACCATCCGCGACTGCGCCACACAGATCCGTTCGACCCGACCGAGCGCCGTGTGTCTGGCCTTTCTCTCTGTCCGTAAGCAAGGTGGTGCCTGGGCCCAAGGTAAATGCGTCACCTTAACCGAGTGTATTCTCTTAGATATATATATATATATCTATTATATTTTATATACACTTAAACGTGTCTTGTTCCACATATGTATATCATATATTATTACTATTATTATTATTTATATATAATACCTATACCTATATATATTTTCTCTCATTTGATACTGTGCACCATAGCTCAGGCATTGCGTGCATCCAACCGTTGAGACGTTTCACGAAGTTTGGAGCTGTGCACTTAAATCCAATATTGGAAATAGGGAAACCCTGCAATTTCTGTGCTCGAAATTAGGCATCCACTTGTTATCCGTAGATGTCGTAGATCTTCGCGTGCTTTTACATTGGTTTTTCTCTTTTTTACGATTCTGCGTTTTAATTCTGAAGTTATCCATTGTATATTGTATATATTATTGCATCCATTTTTATCAAAATTTTTTCATTCAAGAATTCGTTCAACTTTTCTTTATGCAATTGTATCATTACAATGTCTTTTGAATGTAGCAAACGAGAAGTGACATTTCAGAGGAAGTTTGTCCAACATCGGAAATATATTTTCGTTAATGGCATACATTCTTTTTTTTCCCTGTCACGGAAACACTCGCGCTCGGACCTAGAGACACGAGAAGCATGAATCTCAGAAAGGCCGTCAACGGTGGTATCCCATAAATATGGAGATGTCTGCATTCTTACTGTGCAAAACGACTGGCGCAACTACCTACTACCTACCGCGTTCCTTCAACAATATTAAAGCCGTACCTGGTTCCCACAGAAAGAGAGAGAAAGAGATATATATAAACACATCTTCCAGCGATGAATGAAGTCAAACGGGCCCTAGACAATATCCACTTGCATTCGTTGACTTATGAAGAACGACTGTAAAGCACTAGATTCGAGCATGTGCGGAAAAAACAACGGAATGGAAAGGAAACAGATAAAACATGGAAAACAAACCATATTGGAACATTAAGATAGAAGATCCACGAGAGACAAGGATTATTGATGAACTCCTCAACATTTAATCTGTAGCGAAAAATTTACAGGAGTTTCATCTTGTTGCATTTGTTCAATCTTTATGTTCTCGAAATCTTGCTTTTTTCATTTTATTGCGATAGAACATGTAATTCTGATAATCTCTACTTATAATATCTACTAAACTTAAATTGAATTTTGCTAAACAATTATAATATTGTATATCTGGATTTTTTGCATCTGCTTGATAGTGATTTTTATGCACAAAATCCTATCTTCTTTAAATCAAAATAATATATTGAACATTTTAAATAATATATTGAACATTTGAATATTTTAATTGCATATGTATCAGTATTATTTTTTATCTCATACATTAGAGATGTACTGAAGAAATATCGCATTTATTATTTTTGTAATTATGTATTGTGAGCTATTCTGCGGAAAGAGAAAGAAATAAGAATGTATTTAAAAATATTCATTAATTTTTATATTGCTTTTAATTGCTTTTAAAAATATCATTCCGCATAATGGAGCTGTATGTATAAATATTGTAATATATATTTATTTCAAAGATTGAATTGCAAAAAGAAAGGTTGTATCGATAGCAGATACTAAATTCGAGCACACAATATTTCGTAACATACTCCCAACACTGAAGACGTGAGCAGACGTAGAATATTATACTATGCTTGTCTCTCTTCTTTAGTCGAGTAGATCCAGGTTACCTCTGCCGCAGGAAAAGAAATCAAAATAGAATATAACACATATGAGTGCACAGGATATATTTTAACCTGCCTGCGCGATACATCAGACTAGGAACACAGTATAGTAAACTCCATACGCAACTACTAATTCTAAATCTATCCGCATATCCATGCAAGTTTACATTCCAAGTATTAATTCTAATTCTTGTGTGATGTTCAGGATTTGAAGGATTATATGAGACAAGCTGGAGAAGTAACATACGCTGATGCTCATAAGCAACGTAGAAATGAAGGGTGAGTGAATTATTACATTTTAATCTGTTTTCTCGTATTTCTCGCATTATGTGGATTTAATAAACAATTAACATTTGCAATTGTTTTGCAGAGTTGTAGAATTCGCGACATATTCTGATTTGAAAAATGCTATCGACAAATTGGATGATACAGAATTAAACGGCCGCAGAATTAGACTCATCGAAGATAAGAGACGCGGTCGTCGTTCCAGGTCATCTAGTTCAAGATCCCGCTCACGTTCCCGTTCACGTTCTCGTCGTCGATCGCGTTCCCGCTCAAGGTATAATCGTCGTTCTCGATCCCGATCAAGGTACTGTCGGGGCGACATTATGTCACCTGCAATTTTTTTTTTTGTTTTTTTTTGTTATGATTTATGTCCCTTTGTAAATACTTGTTTCAATTAATTTTTGTTTTATAATTTATATATACATTATCTATTATTTTGATCATTTTTTTAAATTTATGTTAAAAAATTATTTAAATTAAAATTAAATTTTTTCTAATTATAAATTAATTTTTTTTATTGTTTCATTTGATTATACAATAAAATATATTTTGTTTTATTTTCGCAAAATTTATCGTACAATGAGATAATTTTGCGCACACCAATATCGGGAAATAGTTTAAGGCATTAAGTACGTCTCATCACTGTTTTCTCTAACGCAGGAGCCGCCGCAGCTCTCGCAGCCACAGCCGCCGTAGTACTCGTTCCAAATCTAGGGCACACTCGAAATCCAAGTCCAAATCTAAATCCAAATCTCCTGAGCGCAGTCGCTCACGCTCAAAGTCCAAGTGAGTATCTCGTCTCTAAAAAGAAAAAGAAAAAAGGCATTATGTTTTTTATGTTATTACTTTATTTGTTTCATTATTCAGCCGTTTGCTCCTCTGTATCAAAACTGTATAATTATTTTAATTATTTTTTTTTCTTGCGCAGTTAATATAATCGATGTACACACTGTCATTCCCATCTCTTATTGGCAATGTTTTTGGGCTGGTGGCTATGCGCCTTGAGCTCTCACGCTTAAATCACGCTTTACACGCGTTCACTTACTCACCGTGTACGTGCTGGGAAACAGCAGAAAGCAACGAGTTTATATTTTGTCACTTTCTCTACTTTTTCGTCCCCCTTTCATTTTGAACTATATAATTTTGCAGATCAAGAGACCGCTCAAAGTCGAAATCTAAGTCAAAGTCCAAATCCAGATCTCGTTCTAGGTCCAAGGCTGAGAGGTCAAAGTCCAGGTCGCAGTCCAAATCCAAAGCCAAGTCTCCCTCAAAGTGAGTCCTCCCGCTGACTTTCTTTAATCGATGTATATGTACTTGGCGCAAGAATTAAAAGCGAACCTTCCCGAGCGACGGCGTGAAAATTTCCATGTTTCTGCTTTTGTCATTTCAGGGATAGATCGAGCCGCGAGCGTTCCAGAGGCGACCGATCCAGATCCCGGTCGGGAAGTAAACACAGCAAGAGTCGTAGTCATTCTCGCTCGCCCATGAACGGTGACAAGTCGCCGGAAAGCAAGAAAGCCGATTAAATATATTTTTTTAAATTAACTTTTTTCTTTCTTTTCTTTTTTTTTATATATATTAAATCACATTCGAAAACCGCCAATACCTGATATCATTACAATTTCCGATTTTATTGATTGTAACAATAAAGTTTCACATAAATCTGTACACATTGTACCGACACTCTGTCATACACTTTGATACTCGGGATATTCAACACAATCGGCTTAACAATCTATACCTTGTTTATTCGAGACAACTTATTATTTCGTTACTTTAGCTAGTTATGATATATACATGCTAGCCGCATCTTGTGGTTTTTTTTTTACTCTAATTTCTCTGTTTTTCTATCATTTCCTTTTTTAGTTGTTAATTTAGGTTTAGAATACACATCCGATTTGAATAATTCGTGCATTTAGACAGATAAGGATTCTTTATTCATACGTCTGATTCTACATGTTTTATCATGTTCTCTACATGTATCACCATATATCAGTACGAGTTCACTTATAATAATAACGGCTTTTTGTATATATTACTAAAAGTTACATTACAATATAAGAAGGTATGTGATGTGTATTAAATTTAGCGGTAAGAGGCATCTTGATTGTCAATAAAAATTCTTGTCAATGCAAATTGACTTCATGCCCGAGCATACTCCGTTCCCGTTCGTTTATTTTGCACATCTTTAAAAAAAAAAAAAAAAAAATACTTTATAAATATTTTCAAATTTTGACACGTAGTATTATATTTCTAATATTGTGTGTGACTTTTATACAAAGAGTTAATTTCTTTATAATTATTTGTACAAAAAACTTGTATCCAACAATTGTCTCTGTTATAAAATTGTGTCCATTGTATGTACAATTGTAATACATAGAAGAAATTATGATTAGTTTTGATTAATGTGTTATTCGCTGCGAATATGATAAACACCGAATCATAATTTTATTTACAATAAAATTAGAAAAGTGTGAACATAACTAGAATTAATATTAATCTAAAGCTAATCGTTTTTTCTTTAATTTCTGTTTAACATTTATATAAAGCTTATTGCGTATTCCGTGCGATGAATAATATCAGTTCTGCGAGGAAAGCTGCAAAATACGTCGATTTTGTTGTCGAGTTCGCGGAATCTAATGCAGTCGGGCGAACATATGACACGCAGCTGTGCCCGCATAGGACCCGGATGACTCAACAGCGTGCGTCAACCCCCAATATTCTTGTACATACGTGGCTCTCCCTTTCCTCCCTCTCTCGCCATCGCGTGAGAATAGATTACCCTCCGCGAGGCGAGCTGTCCCCAGCTGGGAAACGAGAGGGAGAGGACGACGCAAAAAGATCGTCGCCTAGAAAAAGCCACGTCGTCGTTCAATGTCAAATTCACGACGTCGCGACTATGCGTGAATTCCCGTCGTCGCCAAGGGTGAGTCAGTCAGTCAAGCCACCCCTCCGGATGACGGTCAAGGAGATCGGATGCGAAGGAAGAGAAAAAAAACGCGATTAACCGGCGAGGATTGGGGAAGTAGGAGCCAGACGTCGATTGGTCCCCACTCGAGAGCGGTGGGGACCCGGTCCAGGAATGTCGTGCTCATTCACGAGACCCTGCAAGACTTCTGTAGGTCTTTCTACACGTACATATATAATTAATATTAAATGTATATTAGACATGCGTTTCAATCAATTTCATTTTATTCTCTTTTTAACTCCTGTTTATTATTGATTTTACACTTTTTAAAATTTAAAAATGTATATACGTAAACAATTCGAAGAGATTTTTTTTCTCGCGCCCCAGGTAGCAAACATACGTCATTTGGACGTTTAATGACGTCAGTTTGCTACTTGAGGCAGCGCAGTAATTATTTCACATCAATTAATCGCACGATTACATTGTTAATGAACAATTCAGGGTATCCCCGGCATGAGAGAGGAACAACGAATGCAGATGCACATCCCGGGGGAGCTCGTCGCTGCGCCGATCCTGGCGAGAGGGGGCCTGTCGTCCCTTGGAGGGGTCGCGCCGCCAGTGGAGGGGATGAACGACCGGCGCCGCTCGACGTCTGTTACCTGGCCTGGCCGCAGAAGCAGCAACCGGCCAGTCTCAGTGTACCGTCTCGCTCCTGCCCTTGAACAACGCTCGCCTGCTACTACTCGACGGTCTCTCGCGCCTGCCTTCCTGCGCCCCAGAAACTCGCTCGCGTCAACTGACAGGTCAGTGCACCCCTTTCGGCGGCGACCGCCGCGTTACATCGCCGTTTCCCCACGGCAACGATACATCCAATGGCGAAATTATGACGGCGAACATTCATGTAAATATTTCCAAAACAATGTTCAGGAAGACCGCTTCAAAGACGTCTTTTGAAGAACGTCTGTTGGCTTCCTCGGGAAATATTAGACGCCCAGCTTTCTTGAAAGGTATATAACGGAGTATCTCTCCTTTCTTGCTTTTCCTTCGGTTGATTCCCGGGTTCGATGAGGAGAGACATGAATGTTGGGATCAGCGAATATAGTTGATTCGATTTAGAATAACGAAGTAATTAGTGACCTTCCCGGGAATCGATAATGAAATTTCGAATTGGCGAATCGAAATGAAGCCATCACGAAGTAGGCACACTATTGGAACGCGCGTAATTTACATATAACGTATATCCTTCGAAGTAGAAGGTTACCCTTGAAGATCGTTATTTCGATTGTCGCCGATTTCGCGTCTCGCCGTCATAAACAGCCGGAACCGGAACTGAACACTATATTTATTTGCGACGACCTCAAGTTCCATTCCTCGACGTGTTTGCGTCGTGGGAAACAAATCGGAACTCGATCCGGATAGGCAGATCTCGATGTTTACAGCGATGAGACAGAAAGGCGACCATAAGAGGATGGATTTTAATCGCGCGGATACTTTAATTTAATTGCCTGCTCCGAAAAAAAAAAAAAAAAAATTAGGCGACCGGACCCCGCGTATCCCGAGATATCGATCGGTCTTTCGACGCGATCGAAAATGAACCCAGGGGTGTGGTCGAAAGGCGTCCCTCTCTTTCTCTCTTCCTCTCTTTCACAGGACGGAAACGACGTGCTGCACTTGATTTCGCATCTCGATAATCGCGCGATCGCGAAATTAATGACGCGTTCTTTGCGAAATATGACGGCGACTCGGACGAAACCGGGAATGGATTAGTCAGCGGTTCAGTGACGCGGTTATCTGCGATATTTTTGTTATCGTGTGCTTCCAAAATTAACAGTGAAATTAGAGAGAGAGAGAGAATTCGTGCCGGACACGAATAGACATTTTTATCGAGCTCACTGATAGGGACTTAGATGTACGCGTTTATTATTGGTACTTTATGTCGTTTGAATCTCGTTGCACTTATGCACTTATGCATGAGGATCGATAAGATTAATGAACGAGTGAATTGTGACGTGACCGAATTGATGAGCGGATTCTATTCGCGCTTGTTCCCCTGATGAGACACGCGTTCATCCAAATGTCAAATGTAAAATAAATTTATATTTATTTTAAAAAATACTCATCGATCGTTGTTCGATATAAATTCGCTTCGCGGTTAATTAAAACTCATTTCGTTATCATTCTTTTAAAAAAATATAATAGTTAAATTGCTGGATGCCTGACTTATGATGTGTGAATTGATAATAATAATTAAATCTGATCGCTCATTTGGAACGAGGCATACAGCTTCGAAATGCATCGTGAAAAAGCTATTAGGGAACTTCCTCGTTCCTTCTTCGTATGCAGTGCGAGACGATGAGGAGGATGATGGGGAGAAGGGCGTGGTTTTGACAGATGCATACAGTGCGAAACACACATATGCATTTTCCCCTCGTTGTGTCGATCGCTCATTTCCCGCATATCGCTCATATATCGCCCTATTCGAAAAATAAATCGGAAACTAATTACGACCATTTTATTTTCATCTTGCAATTACTAATAATAATGGATGTTAATATTGTTTTAATATCAAAGATCATGGTTTTTATCTTAAGGTTATCGATACTCGTGATTAAACGCGGGCGAAGAGTTGACAGTACTCATTTTTTTTAAATAAATAAATAAATAACAAGTCAATATACATATATCTTTACACTCTTCATATCTATCTTTGTTGCCATGGGCGTCCGCAGGATTTTTTCCAGGAGGGTGCATAATTAATTCTTTTCCTAATATTTTTTATATTAAATATACAAATAAATTCCAGTGTTTATTCAAAGAAAGCAAATGCTTAATTTTGTACTGATTCCAAGGGGAGCCAAATGTTCCCTCTTGTTCCCTTTCTGCTATTATAAAATCCCGTTTAATTTCGCGTCGGCTTCAATCGCGGCGCAATTTTCCGCGCGACTTTTCGCGTTTTCCTAAGGGAGGATCACCATCGTGCGATCGCATTTGCATTTTATCATGTCCCGAGCGTGAGCGTTCGCTTCAAGGCGAACGAGGGACTTCTGTATAAGCGCAACTCGGCCGTCGCGAATCGCGAATCGCGCGCTTTCATGCATCCGCAAATTGCGTTTTACCCGCGTTTTATCCGGCTCGCTCGCTCGCTCGCTCGCGATTAGCGTCTCCCAGATCTCGAGACCGTTTCTGATTCCCAGGACAGTGACGTTACTTGACGAACGAACACCCGGTGTATTCACCTCCGAAGGCTCCCATTTTTTCCGTTGCAGTTGTATTGAATTGTGAGAAGCAACTCGAGATAAATTAATCTCTCCCATCCTGGCAAAAATCGTAGATTTTCTTTTCCAAAAAGATTCCTGAATTAAGAGATATTTTATTTTTGTGAAAAATTGTAAAATATATGCAGATTTAATTATATTGCATTTATTAATATAGAATAATACACAGGGAGGATTTTCTCAGAATTTACTCTGAAGATATAAAATATGTTCAATTAATTTTATTACGTACATAGTAAAAATGATTATTATTGTGATAAATATATTAATCAGGAAAACTCATAAAATTCTTCCAATATCATATTGTCCCGCGATTATTTTCGGGATAAATTCTAAGAGAAAATTCTCTCTGTGTATAAAAAAAGTTTTTGATACATTTTGCTAGATGGTACTATTGAATGCGAATGATGGCTTGCAAAATATTCATTTATGTCGACGTCTAGAAAAAAATTCTTGCTTCTGATGTCATAGTTCAACGTGACTGTAGCGAAGAAACACCTTTGCCACATCAGAGAACGATCCCCAGAGGATCACGGGGAACTTGAATATAAATACGAATGTCTTTCCTTCGTATTCGCTTCGTTCTCGTCGTTATACCGATAAAAAGACGAAGAAACGGAACTTCATTTCCGGTCCTTAATCTCTTGAAATTTAAATTCGCGCATTGAACGCGAGTCTTCGACTGGAACCAGGAGTCCGTATCTCCCTCTTTACCATGAAACATTTCACAAAACCCGAAACGTAGGGAGACTGCCAGACAATGAGAGGTAAATTAATAGGTATCGACCTGTCACGCGATCTGTCATCTTCATCACCGATTGAGTCTCGTGACTTTCGCCCTCCCGGTTGAAGAGGGAGATCGTCCTCTCTCACCCTATACCTTTGCCATGAAACGGTTCCCAAACCCGTCCGAAATGTAGGGAGACTGTTAGAGAGAATAAATGAATAGGTATCGACCTGTCACGCGATCTGTCATCTTCATCTCCGATCGGGTCTCGTATGACTTTCGCCCTTTCTGGTTGAAGGGAAACCGCCCTCTCATCACCCATGACCATGAAAACCGGGATGCGCCGCGCATACGGGATACAGCCTCCAGAGATTTCGCACAAACCACCCCCTTCATCCCTCCCGGCTTTTCTCCGGCAATGCCAATCGATGAAACCGTCTGCCGCGGCAGCCGCCGCCTCCATAGAGAGATCCCGGCCGCTCCCTCCTGTAACCTCGGGATTGCCCGGCGTCGATGCATCCGCAAATGCACGTGTATGCGTGCATTTATTGCGCGCGCCCTACTCATTCATGCATCGCGATATAGGCATCCGCAGGGGGGCAAGAGGGGGTATTTTTGCCCTCCTTGGAATCGCTAAAAAAATTTTCGTTTGAATAAACATTGGAATTTTTCTGCGTATTTAATATAAAAAACTGAAGGTGATAAAATAAAATTGATTTTTAAGAAATTGAGGAAGAACGAAAAATAAAACGTTAATTATGCTCCCTGGAAAAAATTCTGCGGACGTCCATACATCGCGAATAAGGCTCGCACATGTGTTGGATCATAGGGAGGGGATCTCTCCCTGGATTCAGCAAAAAATTAAGCATCTCTTCTTTTAAATAAAAGAGAAATCAAGTGTGCGATCTTGCCGACCTCTGGCTAATCTAGGGGAAAATACATTTTTTCCTTATTTTAAATTCTACACGGAGGGAATTTTCCCTTAAAATTTACCCTGAAAATTATAGTAATCGCGGGACAATATGGTATTGTAAGAAGAGTTTTTTTGATTAATATTTATCACAATAATAGTAATTTTTATTTTACACATAATAAAATTAATTGAACATGTTTTATATCTTATTGTGATAAATATTAATCAGAGAAATTCTTATAAACTTCAATATTGTTTCACAAATTACCATGATTTTCAGGGTAAATTCTAAGAGAAAATTCTCTCTGTGTATAAGTATTATAAAAAAATTCTAAAAGTAACATTTTGGATCGTGTTCCCCTTTGGAAAAAAATCCTATCCTAGCCTTGTGTGGGACGGTATTTAGGTATGTATTGTTACGCTAGAAAGCGGAAGAGACTCGCCTTCTATCGAAGTTTCGATTAATCCGTAGTCGATTACACAAACACCGGTCTAGACTCTCGTTGCGATAAGATAATATATTATACACTATACAAATACATGTAACTGCGTTCCGTGAAGTTTAGATTTTTATGAAAGATATATAGCTTTTTAAGTTTATGTACTGGCTAATTGATTCACATGTGGGATTTTAATTGACTCTGGAATTCGCGCCGGATGAACGTGCAGAGGAAGCTACAGTCTGGGTTAAGGAGCTTAACGCAGCATTGCCTCTCTTGCCAAATTATAATTCTACGTATGAGATAGACGGAAGATCCGTCGGCTTAACCGGAAGTTGGCGCTAAGCAACATCCTTAATGCTAGGAATGTCTTAACATATATAAAGTTACTCGAGCATTATGATCGTTCATTAAGAGATTCCTGGGAATATAATTGATTAATTAAATT